GCCAAGCCAGGAGGATTGCTTGAGCCCAGGAGTTCAAGACCAGCCTGGGTAACATAGTGAGACCCCATCTCTACAAAAAATAAAATGTGGGCCTGGCGCAGTGGCTCACGCCTATAATCCCAGCACTTTGGGAGGCCAAGACGGACTGATCACCTGAGGTCGGGAGTTCGAGACCAGCCTGACCAACATAGAGAAACCCCATCTCTACTAAAAATACAAAAATTAGCTGGGCGTGGTGGCGCATGCCTGTAATCGCAGCTACTCGAGAGGCTGAGGCAGGAGAATCGCTTGAACCCGGAAGGTGGAGGTTGTGGTGAGCCGAGATCGCGCCAGGCAACAAGAATAAAACTCTGTCTCGGCCGGGTGCGGTGGCTCACGCCTGTAATCCCAGCACTTTGGGAGGCTGAGGCGGGCGGATCACCAGGTCAGGAGATCAAGACCATCCTGGCTAACACGGTGAAACCCTGTCTCTACTAAAAATACAAAAAATTAGCCGGGTGAGGTGGCGGGCACCTGTGGTCCCAGCTACTCGGGAGGCTGAGGCAGGAGAATGGCGTGGGCCCGGGAGGCGGAGCTTGCAGGGAGCTGAGATCTGGCCACTGCACTCCAGCCTGGGCGACAGAGCGAGACTCCGTCTCAAAAAAACAAAAACAAAAACAAAAACAACTCTGTCTCAAAATGAAATAAAATAAAATAAAATAAATATGAAAAACTTTATCTGGGCTTTGTGGCACATGCCTTTGGTCCCACTTACTCAAGAGGCTGAGGTGGGAGGATTGCTTGAACCCAGGAGCTGGAGGCTTCAGTGAGCCATGTGGGCACCACTGCACTCCAGCCTGGGCAACAGAGCGAGACCCTGTTTTAAAAAAATTAAATTAAAAAAACAATGGGAAGCTGGATGCGGTGGCTCACACCTGTAATCTCAACACTTTGGAGGATTGCTTGAGGTCAGGAGTTCAAGACCAGCCTGGGCAACATGTTGAAACCCCATCTCTACAAAAAAATACAAAAATTAGCCAGGTGTGGTGGCGCACACCGTGCAGTCCCAGCTACTCAGGAGGCTGAGATGGGAAGATTGCCAGAGTCCGGGACGCAGAAGTTGCAGTGAACTGAGATCATGCCACTGCACTCCAGCCTGGGTGACAGAGCAAGACCCTGTCTTAAAAAAAAAAATGCTGACAGGGAGATGAGCTGGCTCATGAATGGAGGGAGGCAGGAGGCTGGGGAGACAGGGATGGGAGCAGGCTGCAGGGCGGGGAGGGGAGGGCTTCTTCCTCCCCAGCCAGCTGAGAGGACGGTGCAGATGGAGCTCCGTTTGGGGCTGGGTGGGAGGCCAGGAAGTTCTCTCCTGATGTTCCTCCTCTCCGTGTGAAGTGGGAGGCTGGGTCGTGCCGAGAGTGAAGGGGAAGGCAGAGGAGGAGGAGAGGCTTGGGGCCTGGAAGGGAGCTGCCGGGCCGGGCGAGGATGCAAGGCTCGTGGAGTGCTCACCCCCTCCCAGCCTCCAGCCATCCCCGCCCGCCCTTGCTCAGCCGGAGAGAAAGCCGGTGATGATGACGAGAACAACACAGTAACCCCGGGCACCTATGGAGCACTTACTGCATGCCACATGCCAGGGCTTCACGCCTATTAACTTATTTAACCCTCGCAAGAACGCATTGGGAGAAGGCACTGTTATTATTATTATTACTATTATTATTATAATATTTAGATAGGGTCTCACTCTGTCATCCTCGCTGGAGTGCAGTGATCATAGGTCACTGCAGCCTTGAATTCCTGGGTTCAAGCGATTCTCCTGCTTCAGCCTCCTGAGTAGCTGGGACCACAAGTGTGCACCACCACACCCAGCTAACTTTTTTTTTTTTTTTTAATTTTTGTGGAGACAGAGTCTTGCTCAGGCCAGTCTCACACTCCTGGCCTCAAGCAATCCTCTCGCCTTGGCCTCCCAGAGTGCTGGGATCACAGATGTGAGGTACCTTGCCTGGCCCAATGCACTATTATTACATCCTTTGTATAGATGAGGAAACTGAGGCACAGAGAAAGGAAGTAACTTGTCCAAGGACATTCAGCTAGCAAGTGACAGAGTTGGGACTCAGACCCAGGCTGTCTGGCTCTACATCTGTGCCTTCTCCCAGATGAAGCTGTGGTCGTTGTTCTTCAGGGTACAGGGGTGCTTAGGGGCAGGCTAGGGACGCTGGAGTGACGTGTCTGGGATTACAGGGAGAAGGGGCTGGGTGCAGTGGCTCACGCCTGTAATCCCAGCACTTTGGGAGGCCGAGGCGGGTGGATCACCTGAGGTCAGGAGTTCGAGATCAGCCTGGCCAACATGGTGAAACCCCATCTCTAATAAACATGCAAAAATTAGCCAGGCATGGTGGCACACACCTGTAATCCCAGCTACTTGGGAGGCTAAGGTGGGAGAATCGCTTGAACCCAAGAGGCAGAGGTTGCAGTGAGCCAAGATCATGCCACTGCACTCCAGCCCGGGCAACAAGAGAGAAACTCCGTCTCAAAAAAAAAAAAGAAAGAAAAAAAGGAAAAAGAGGGAGAAGGGAGTGCAGGGAGGGAGGCTGCACTGGGAAGCAGGTGCTCGGGCTGGAAGCTGGTGGCAGCTTCTAAAGGAGACAGCCCTGGCCTCTCTTGCTGGTGCACACACAGACACATACTCATGTGTGCCCTGCGCCTGGAAAAGGCTCATTCGCCCTAGTCAACCCCTCTCCATTTACAGATGAGAAATGAACGCCCAGAGTGGTTGCCTGGAAGATAGGGGCAGAGAGGGATGGGGTTTTAGAAAGGGGCAAAAGGAAACTTTGGGGTAATGGATGTGTTCATGGTCTCGGCGGCAGGGATGTATACATATGTCAGAATCATCACACTGTACACTTCAAACGTGTAGTTTTTTGAACACTAAATATACCTCAATAAAACTAGAAAAATGACATGAGATAAGGGGAAATAAAGAAATGAAGGCCACGGGCAGAGAGTTAGTTCACTGTCACCCACGTGACAAGTCAGGTCTCAGCCCAACGTGGTTGGCTCACGCTGTAGTCCCAGCACTTTGGGAGGCTAAGGTGGAAGGATCGCTTGATCTCAGGAGTTTGAGACCAGCCTGGAAAAATAGCAAGACCCCATCTCTACAAAAAATTTAAACATTAGCCAGATGTGGTGGTGCATGCTTGCAGTCCCAGCTACTCAGGAGGCTGAGGCAGGAGGATCCCTTGAGCCCAAGAGTTCAAGGCTGTAGTGAGCTATGATCACCCTGCTGCACTCCAGCCTGGGCAACAGAGCAAGACCCTGTCTCAATACAAATACAATTTTTTTTTCTTTTTTGAGACAGAGTCTTGTTCTGTCTCCCAGGGTGGAGTGCAGTGGCGCAATCTCTGCTCACTGCAGCCTCCGCCTCCAGGGTTCAAGCAGTTCTCCTGCCTCAGCCTCCCAAGTAGCTGGGACACAGGCGTGTACCACCATGCCCAGCTGTATTTTTAGTAGAGACAGAGTTCCGCCACATTGACCAATCTGGTCTCGAACGCCTGACATCTAGTGATCTACCTGCCTTGGCCTCCCAGAGTTCCACCACATTGACCAGTCTGGTCTCGAACGCCTGACCTCTAGTGATCTGCCTGCCTTGGCCTCCCAAAGTGCTGGGATTATAGGTGTGAGCCACCACGCCCAGCCTAAATACAATTTTTTAAAAAGTCAGGTCGGCCGGGCACAGTGTTCATTAGTCGGGTGGTGAGGTCGTCTGCGGTGGGGGAGGCACTGCCAGGCTGTGCTGATGTGTGGCCATGTGTGTGGTGGGATGGTGTGGCCACATCTATACCATCTTGCCGGTTTGGCCTGAGACCACATGGCCAAGATACGTGATGCTGCAATCATGGCCCTCAGACCTCTTCCCCACCTCCTACCTTACGGAGAGCCCATATCACTTTCCATCATAATATACAACTGGTGTGATCACTGTGTCTACTGCCCTTCTCCCCCTGGGGTGTAAGCCCCATGGGGCAGGGAATCCTAGGTGTTCGTTCCATGCTGTGTACTCCGGGCTTTGGAGAGCCCTGGGGAACAGCAGGTGCTTTGTCAGTACTTGTGAATAAGCTGGGCACGGTGGCTCATGCTGGTAATCCTAGTGCTTTGGGAGGCTGAGGTGGAAGGATCACTTGAGGCCAGGATGGGCAACATAGTGAGACCCCAACTCTACAAAAAAAAATTAAAAATTAGTCAGGCATAATAGGTGTAGCAAACTACCATGGCACACATTTACCTGTGTAACAAACCTGCACATCCGGCACATGTACCCCATACCTAAAAATTAAAAATTAAAATTAAATAAATAAATGAAAATTAGCCAGGTGTGGTGGCGCATGCCTGTAGTCCAGTCTACTCAGGAGGCTGAGATAGGAGGATAGCTTAAGCCTGGGAGGTCGAGCTGCAGTGAGCTGTGATCGTGCCACTGCACTCCAGCCTGAGTGACAGAGCAAGACACTGTCTCAGAAATAAAAATAAAAACAAGCCGGGTGCAGTAGCTCATGTCTGTAATCCCAGCACTTTGGGAGGGACAGGCAGAGGGATCACTTGAGGCCAGGATTTGGAGACCTGCCTGGGCCACACAGTGGGACCCCCTCTCTACAATCCAAATAAACAAAACCAACGCTTGTGAATGGGAGTACCTGTGTGAACTCGGTATCTGGCTGTGTCTGTGTGACATAAACAGGGGCCTTGCCTGACACTGTGTGCGGGTGGCAGCATGAGGCAGAGGGGCTGGTGCCACCAAGCACAGGGTCGAGCAGTGACTGTCTTCAGGGAGCTGACTCAGGCTGGCCCCTGAGGCTTTGGGGAAGGCGACGAGACCAAGATGCTTGTCGCCCCCTTGTGGTTATCTTGGGCCTGGCATCTGGGCCCATCCTCAAGTTTTCTGGGTTCTGGGGAGGGCAGAGGGGCTGGAGGAGGGGACCCTTGCCTGATGTCACACTTCATGCTCACCACCCCTACCCAACAGGGAGAAGATGAGCATGGGCTGCCCAGAGCCTGAGCCGCCCCGCTCCCTGACCTGCTGTGGGCCAGGGGCTGCCCCTGGGCCTGGTGCCGGCGTGCCCCTTCTCACTGAAGACATGCAGGCCCTGACTCTCCGCACACTGGCTGCCAGCGATGTCACCAAGCACTACGAACTAGTCCGGGAGCTGGGCAAAGGCACCTACGGGAAGGTTGACCTGGTGGTCTACAAGGGCACAGGTGAGCAAGTGCAGCGTGGCAGGACTGGGAGGTTGGGGTGGGGCAGGGCTGGGAGGTCGGGGTAGGGGGACATGACCTTCCAGCTGGGCCGCGGCTCTCTGGTGCTTTGTGGAAGCAAGGAGGCAGGGTCAGGGGCCAGATGGAGAGGATGAGGCCTGAGGCAGCCCACGGGGGAGGAGACAGGGCAGATGGGGCAAGGGAGGAATCCGGGGCAGAGTGGCCAGGGTACAGGATGGGCTGCTCTGGGACCATCTGGGGTGCCTTTGAGACAGCCAAGGGGCTGTGTCAGGAGCCTCTGGAGAGGGCAGGGCTGCCGGCTGTGTCTGGGTATCACCAGTGTCTCAGGGATGGCTGGCCCCAGGGAGGTGGACAGAGAGTGAGGGCAGTTCCTCAGGACCAGGGTGCCACACTTAATGGGTGGTGGAAGGACCTGTGAGGTCAGTATGGCCATCGCCATCTCTCAGGTGAGGACAGGGAGACCTAGGCCATTTCAGCCACATATCCAATGCCCTGCAGCTACAGAGGCTGCGAACCAAAACGAGACCCCAGGAGTCATCTCCAGAGCCTTGTTGCTTAGTCACTGAGCTTGATACCTCTCCCACACTGTAGGTCACAGCCATGCCACCCAGTCAGCCAGGGGCTGGGGCTGCGTGAGCTCCCACAGCTGCACACGCCTGGGTCCAGGGGCTTTGTGCTAACTGAGGGCAGCAGGAAGAGCACCTAACATGGAGTCACCTGAGCTTTGTTATTTGCTTACTGTGTGATCTTGGGCAAGTGACTTCACCTCTCTGTGCCTCTCTGTAAAATAGGGTCCTTCTCTGTAAAATAGTCCTTCTCTGTAAAATAGGGTAACAGTAGTGCACAACTCATACAGTCATAATGAAGTGTGAGTTGTGAATGTGCAGTGCTGAAGGCAGGGCCTGTGATGTGTAAATGCTCCGTGGACACACATGTGTGTACCACACAGCTATGTGCCAGATGGGCACAGATGCTTGCCCAGGCACAGAGTTGTGGACATGTGCCTTGCAGTGTCTCATTTCTTATTCATTCATCCATTTAGCAAGACAGGAAGCTTATGGAGACCCATTCTAGCTGGGGTAGACCGACAAGATAAATAAGCGTGTGGCGGGCAGGACAAAATGAGAGAAGTGGAGGGTGCCACAGGCCCCCTCGCCCCCTCCTCCTGGAGGGCTGCAGACTGGGTGTAGAAGGCCCAGGTTGACCCTGCCTGCATAGCTTTAGGCAAGTCCTTTCCTCTCGCTGGGTCTGTTCCCATCCGTGAGATGAGGATAGTCATGCCTTCTGGGGACCCTGTTGCACCTTGTTCCAGAGACAGGCACGGGTGCATCCAGCACGGAGGCACTGGGAGAGGGGGCTTCAACCCTGTTGCTGTTGCTCCCATCAGGCACAAAAATGGCACTGAAGTTTGTGAACAAGAGCAAAACCAAGCTGAAGAACTTCCTGCGGGAGGTGAGCATCACCAACAGCCTCTCCTCCAGCCCCTTCATCATCAAGGTCTTTGACGTGGTCTTTGAGACAGAGGACTGCTACGTCTTTGCCCAGGAGTACGCACCTGCTGGGGACCTATTTGACATCATCCCTCCCCAGGTACTCGGGATGGTGGCGTAGGGCGGGGAGAGGGTCCCAGAGAGGACTCTGGGAGAGGGTCACACTCTTCAGGGTCCCAGAGTGTGAGAGTGGGAGTGGAGTCAGACCATTTAATCAGCAAGTATTTACTGGGCGCCTGCTGTATGTCAGTTACCATTCGGGGAGCTGGGGATGTGCAGTAAGGAGGACAAAAGTCCCTGTTCTAGTGGGAAACTGACACTCCACAGTGGGTCAGATAATAACAGATGGAGATGAGCCCCTGAAAGGGACAGTGACAATGATGGGATGAAGTCTTACTGCGCCCTCCCCTGGGGCTGCACAAGAGGAGAGGTGTCAGATCCACCTGAGAAGGGGCCCTCAGAGGAAGCGACCCTGGAGCCAGGAGGGTGGGGGAGGGTTCAGGCACTAATTTTAAATCTGCCCTGCCGCTTGCTGGCTGAGTGATGAGACCTTTGGAGTAGGTCCTCCTTCTTTGCTGAGCACCTACTACATGCCAGAATCTGGGGACAAAGATGCACGGACACAGCAAGGAACAAGACAGGAAGCTCAGGGAGCCCGGTTCTAGTTGGGGGAGACCGACGAGATACGTATCTAGCAGGCAGGGCAAAATGACAGCAGGTGGAGGTGGCCGCGGACCCCCTCGTCAATTTTCTCCTGGAGGGCCCCGATGTCCCCATAGGAGAAGCAGGCATAGCAGGCACTAAGAGGATTGGATGAGACAGCGAGGGAAAGGGCGCTCAGCAGCACCCGGGCCGCAGCAGGCTCGCGTCTGCGCGGTCGCTCCAGTTACTGGGGACAGGGTGGGAGGCGAAAACTGCCTTGCTAGAGAGGGAGCTGGAGGGGAGGGCGGCGGGGCGGGCGCGGGAGAGCTGGAAACCGAGCGCGGCTCCCCCCGGCCGCCCGCAGGTGGGGCTCCCGGAGGACACGGTGAAACGATGTGTGCAGCAGCTGGGCCTGGCCCTGGACTTCATGCACGGGCGGCAGCTGGTGCACCGCGACATCAAGCCCGAGAATGTGCTGCTGTTCGACCGCGAGTGCCGCCGCGTGAAGCTGGCCGACTTCGGCATGAC